CAAACTATCGGTTTTTACCGAGTCTTTTTGTACCTATTCTGGATAGAAAATGATCTATATTTAGAAATGCGCTGACATAATGTACTAGATCATTTTGCCATTGTTCTCCTCAGTAATTGAATGTTGAACAAGACTTTTTAATTTATGATGTACAATTTGCAATTGCGATGTACCTTTACATTTGCATTTGCAATGATATGTTGATAACGTTCTGCCGTGTACACAATTAAGTCAAGCCTTTAGTGAAAAATGCATCTGTTGAAAGAAAACCGACCCGGAAAAAAGCCGTTTATGACATATTCCCGTCGTACGGACACGCTTGGCTAGTTGTGCGAACTGAATTACAGCTTTAACACGATGTTTCCCTTCCACGACCGATGATCTGTCAATGTAATTGACAGACGGGTGTGCAAGCCGGCCACGAATCGCCACTAATTGGCCATTTCGAACAAATGATAATAAGAAAGGAACGGACATTTAGTCTATCTTCATTTTAAATCTATTAAACACTGAAGCATCCTCGAGCTATAAGACGATTATTCGATAATCGTCTGTAAAGGGTGCGTGCATAAATAATTGTATAACCCCTTGGGTTGAAAGTTTGGCGAATTCTGAGCCTCTACGATGTTTTAGATACGACTAACGGCGAGCAAAGGGCAATTATGTAATGGGCAACAAATACGCCCACATAGCATCATCTCGCATATTCCCAATGCGAGAAATCATTGGGTAATTTTGTCAAGAAATGATTTCCTGTCATCATCCATTCGAAATAAATTTTATTATAGAAAAAATAAAAATAAAGTAAATATCTAACTGTCATTTTTGAGCGCAAATACAGAATTCTTAAAGAGGTATACATTTAAAAAAAGTAAACTTTGAATGAGTACCGTACAAAAGTTGCCAAAAGGTCTCATAAATACGCATTGTATTTACAATAAAGAACCCAACCTTATCAAATCTAGGGGGGGCAAAAGTCAACCCAAATTTTTAAAACTTAATGATTGAACTTAACTGATGGATTATTGTATTAAAGTATAAAGACAGTCTAAATGGTTATCAATGGAAATTTAAGATTATTAAATTCTTAACTCGGTTAAAATATAAATAATAAGTACATGCCTGAAAAAAAAGTAACCTATACGACCATGTTATCGTTTTTTAAACATTTTTATGTTATGTGTGGTGATTAGTGACCGTTAATCGATATTTATTTAGAAATCGTGAGATGCGATCTGGTGTGATGTAGGTTTCAGAAAAACATTTTCTTTATCGTGCCAACGTTTCGATCTTTATTGAGATCATCTTCAGGGCCTGAGTTTTACAAACATTGTTTAGATATAGCAATTAAATTTTGGATGTGGAAAAGTGAATTGACACAATAATACTTTGATTGAATACATAAAAAATATATTTTGCATTGTATAAAGTCACTTTTCCACATCCAAAATGTAATTGTTATATGTAAACAATGTTTGTAAATCCCAGGCCCTGAAGATGATCTCAATAAAGATCGAAACGTTAGCACGATAAAGAAAATGTTTTTCTGAAACCTACATCACACCAGACCGCATCTCACGATTTCTAAATAAATATTTTTTTGTTATGTTGTTTTATTGTTTTTAATTAATTCAATACTATTAATGTTTAGATACTGAGCCTCACCTAATTTTAAATAATCATATCATTAATGCAGTTTCTTGTTCTCATGATATATTTGAACACTCATCGAGTTGTAGTAAGAAAAATAATTGTTTTTGTCATTTTTTTTAATGATATAACATGTTCCAACAGCGATATTTTTCTAAAATAAATAGGCCCTGATGATGACGATATAATGGTCGAGAGCTCGGCAAAAACTTAAAGAATTGTCGTTGTGACCTCATCGAAGAACCTTTTTTCCATGTTATAAACTTGGTAAAACACGCAGTTAAAATTTTTGCAAACTCGAGGTCACGATAGCTCAAGTGGTAGAGCACGCCACTGCGTCTATCTAGCCGAAGGTCGTGGGTTCGAATCCCGCTCGTGCCATTAACTTTTTCTCATCTCAACTAAAAACCTTAATTAATTGTAATTTTTGCAAACATTTTGATTTTTGTCTTTTTTATATCCATAGTGAATGCATGTATATAAACAACATACATTGCAAGCAAGTAAGTATAAACACGAGGAATAATACTGTTCTGAATAACACGAAAAAATGTACCATCGTACTCAAATCACGCTCCCGAAGAGAAAAGAACAAATCCTGTCCATCATTTTCGTTTCCATTTCGTTATATAAGGTCGATCGTTTCTTCTATTCCAAAGAGTAAGCTCGTTAGGCTTATTATCTGAGGTTCTATCAATTATTAATTAGCCTTAACAAACAAAAAACCCGTTTTTTCTGTCTCTGAGTTATCCAATTAATATGAGTTATTATGAAAATTAAAAGTTATTATTAAATACAATTAACTTTTTTTATCGCATACGAATTTTGAGGAAAACGTTTGAAAATAGAACTACATAGAAAGAATGAAGTAAATGTATAAAACATCGACTGTTTTTGCCGAAGAAAGTTAATATATAAAACGTACGATTAGATCGTGAAACGACTATAGTAAATGTCATTGAAAATAACTATATTTACTATTGTTTTAGAGCCGAAATCCTTGCTTAATATATTGCATAACGTCTGTGCTGTTTTGCCTTATTTTAGATTGATTTTTAAAATGTATTTTATAAAATGGCTAGCTGCTACTGTAATTATTGCCAATTATACTTATTTTAAGCTATAATCTTATTTTATGAACTTTAAAAACATCCCAGTACACGATCCAAAATGTTTTTTTTTTTTTTTGTGGGGGGGGGGGAACAATTAAAATATAAATTGTTGATTTATTTCAGTTTCAAGTTTGATGGTAAAAAAGTTGGGTAATATTATACTGGACGTTATTCTCTATTTGAATAAAGACACTCGCTATTTTTCAAGGTTTAAGTTTTTAATTTTAATAATTGAATTTCCGATATTTTAATGGCAAATTCTAGAGAAAGTAATAATGAATATTAGTAAAGCATAATATTCGTGTAAAAAATAATTATACAACAATATACTTTGAGGAAAACCCAACCCAAGGTAGTTGGACGTGGAGCCGATTCTAAAATTTAGAGAAAGAAACTTGTTTTTTGAGCTGTGGGAGATACACCCTTAACAGGGCATATAAAGATTTCTCCCTTAATTTGAAATGTTTTATTTTAATTAGTAAACAATTATTATTCGCGATTTTGTAAATTTATAAAAATATAAACGCCGACGAAAAACATGTTATGTTTCAAAGAAAGATAAAAAATATTGTAAATCATCGATAACATTCATAACTTTTCATTCTTCTCAATTCAATTATTTAATTATAAATGTTTACTACCTTTTTCCAACTTAACTTTGCTTTTTATTATTTCATTAAAATAAGTAATTTACAGAAATTGTTTAGATGATTATTACCCAACGTATACATTTTTTTGTATTTAGATGAATTTGTGATAGATGCTATAGTAAATTTTTTGAAAAATTGTTATTATAAGAATGCTCTAAGGAGAAGGCCTAAAGTGTGTCGAATTATATCTAATTAAAAAATCTATACCTTATAATATATTTCCTTAGGTCGCTTATTTAAATGTGAAAGAGCAAGGTCAAATTGAAAAAGAAGAAGGATAAATAAAATTTAGAAATTATTATTCAAATTTCTATAAATCGTTAAAATAAAGCTGACAAAGAAATCAGTTTAGAAATGATGAATGATGGAGTGAGTGCGATGTTCAATATTTGTGGAAGAAATTAGTTTAACTTTAATAAACATTAGAAAGGACAAATGTTACATTTAATATTGAAATTTCAGTCGAAGATACAAAGATTTTATAGCTCCGATAAGACATAAAAGTTGATAACTTTTCATCTCGATTTAAATTATCAAATAATAAATTAGTTATTTTAGTTAAATTGGTAAAATAAGAACATCATTAGAATTTTAAAATAAATCATTATAATAAAAATTGATTAAGTTAAAATACCATGGAGAGTTCACAGATTTTATAACTGCAGTAATGTTTCATTATTTGTAATTCGCAACGGTGCAGAATTAAATTTGTAATTATGAAATGTAAAATATAGTCTAATAAAATGAAAGAAAAAGCAATCAAAAGAACACACTAAATAGAAAGACATAATATTACACTGAAATGTATAATTCTATAATAATTTGAAATTTTTTTATTAATTAACGATTAATATGATTACCTCCTGCAGTCTGAGTTGCAAAATTGAAGGTTAACTGATAACTACTTGGTTGTGTTTTTTGAACTTCAATTTCATGATTGAATAGTTTTGTTATAATTTTGATTAAAAAATGGGTTTACAAATAAAATATTAACTTATACAATTTTTGTCATCACGAGTATAATTATTTTTATTGCACATTTCGGTATATGGTTTACTTATGTTTACTTTTCTAAGTTCCTTATTACTTTCTTTTCTGTGCATTTTTTTTGCAAAATATTTTCGCGAAATAGTGGAAGTTGTGTTTTTTCAGTTTTCAACTTAGATTTTTTGATGATTGGCTTGATGGCCAAAACAAGCGTTTTGTTCTAAAACAGTTGAACGTGAGATTTTTCAATAATAAAAATGAGATTAATTACTGTAATAACGCACAATTGACGACCATTATTCAACTTAGTCGTTCTACGTTCGTCCATTTTTATATTCCGGCATCGCTTCAAAAATAAGAATAGGAAAGAACCATTGGGCGCTAATCAAAGGGGATTCTTCTCGGCAAAAAAGGCCTAAGTGGCTCTTATCTAACGTGAGTCGATCACGAACAACCGGAGAGACTTGAACGGTCGGAGTCTGGCGTTAAAATCCTTTACCTTTCGGCATCCCTTAGGTTTCATTGGCGTCTGCAGATCCGGCCGTGTAACACTGACAACCCCGAAGGAACGCCAGCATCCCCCAAGTCGGAACAGTGATGCAAACCTCCCCTCCACAAGAGAGCGATCCATATATAAGACGGGGAATCAACATTGGGGAGCATCACTTCACTTCCTTTCACATCACAACAAAGGTTTACCATGAAGGCAGTGAGTACAGCAGATTTTGGATTATTTCTCTCTTATAAACAATTTTCTTTCTATTTTATAAATCAATAGTTTCAATATAAAGTTTTAAATTTTTATAAAGTTTAAAACAGTGAACAACTTTTGGCTTAGCTAACAAATTAAAAATGTTCCAATAGTGCTGAGTTAAATAGGTCAAGTTCCATTTCATAACGTTTGTGCTAATTGATGTAAAATTAGTCAAATATACAAATTAACAACATTTGAGATAAATTTAAACAACATAAATGACGTTTGTTCTTTAAATTTTAAAAATTAATTTTTGTTTCATGCTTAGAATTTTTTACAATTCAAAGTCAACAACTTTTATACGTTAAATAATACTCTAATCAATAACGCAATAGTAGAATTTGATTGAAAAATTTGATGTTTAAAAATATTTAAGATATTTACCCTGTAGTTTTATCGTCCGTGTTCCTGCTTTTCTTAAAAAGTACGAAAATAACATTTTCAGTTTTGGTTTGATTTTTTCTGATACTTTTAAATAAATTATATTTTAAAAATGATACTCATTAATTGAGGTTTTTAGTTGAGAGATTGTAATGTAATAATTGGTCAAGCGGACCACGAAATTAGTGAATTTAATGATACTCATTGTTGATTTTTTTTAAATTTATTTAATGATCCAAACGTAAATAATAATTTTTTAAATACGTATAATTATTTAATCAGATTTTATTTGAGACTTCTTATATATATTCTGTTTTTTTAAATACTATAATTTTTGTTCTCCTTATTTTCAATTTAAATCATGGTAAAATACAAATAGTTTTGTTTTTTCGTAGTACAGTTATTTTGAAAAATATTTGTTTACGCTATTTAAAAAAATAGGTTAAGAATTTGTATAATCGTAAAAAATATTAAACTAATTTGTCTGTTAAATATTATTATGTTACGATAGTTAATTTATTTTTAATTAATTATTTTGTGGGTTCCCTGGTATATCGATTTTTTTGCAAAGCATCTTGGCATATTTGAGTTTTGTATAGTAATATATATTTCCGTAGACAACGTTTTTTATTTTTATTTTCATGGCGGCTCACAACCAACTGACGGTTTTGGAAAATTATGCAATTTTTAAAATCTAGTCCGTCTGGTGATCTCGTGACACCTCATTTCATTTCTAAACGTGTTTCCCTGATAATAGAAAATCTTAATCGCTCACGACTTTTAGTTCATGACACAAACGCTTAGCCATTGGATACAAACAAAATTTATTGTTATGAGTATTGTATAATATTTTGAATAAAAAACTAATTTATTGCTAATTTTTCAAATCTTATTTAATCTTTAGTGATTGGCACAGGTCTGAATGTTGCAAGTTTTATGAATGTTTATTTATTAATCTTAAACAATTCATTTAAAAAATTCAAGCGAAATGCCCTTGATGGGAATTACGCGTTTTGTGGTACAATCTAATTACGCTATTGTGTACGTAACTACTCATGAGACGAATCTTGTGAAACGGTGAAAGAAATGCATTATGCTGAATAAAAAGAGAATTGCTTCATAATACCTACAACGCCTTCACTCGGGATTGTACCAACGAACTCAAAATTTTCTGAACTTTTCATGAATACATTCATATTTCGTTTGTTGTAGATTATTTTGGCGTTATTTGGGGTGGTGGCGGTTGCGAGATGTGCCCGCTTGGATAATACGTACCTCCCACCAAGCGGAGCAGCCGGAGCTGGTGGTACTGGTAGTATTCTCTCTGCTCCTCACGGAGGCAGCGGATTCGGAGCCGGAGGAGGAAAGCCAGGATTCCCGGGTAGTGGTGGTGCCGGATCCTTCCCTGGGTCCCAGGCTGGCAGTGGAGGTTTCGGAGGCGGTGCTGGCAGACCAGGTTTCCCGAGTGGACCTGGTAGCGGATCCTACCAAGGAGGTGCCGGTGGTGGCTCTTTCCCAGGTAGCGCCGGTGGTGCCCATCATGGTGGCGCTGGCGGTGGTTCCTACCAGGGAGGTGTTGGTGGAGGTTCAGGCGGTGCTGGAGGTTTCCAAGGAGGTGCCGGTGGATTTCAAGGAGGCGCCGGAAGCGGTGGGCACCACGGTGGTGCAGGAGGTGGTTCGTTCCAAGGGGGAGCAGGTAGCGGCTCATACCAGGGAGGTGTTGGGGGAGGATCAGGTGGTGCCGGAGGATTCCATGGAGGGGCTGGAGGATTCCAAGGAGGTGCTGGAAGCGGGGGCCACCAAGGAGGAGCAGGAGGATTCCAAGGTGGAGCAGGAGGATTTCAAGGAGGAGCAGGAGGATTTCATGGAGGAGCAGGAGGATTCCAAGGAGGTGCTGGAAGCGGTGGCCACCAAGGAGGAGCAGGAGGATTCCAAGGTGGAGCAGGAGGATTTCAAGGAGGAGCAGGAGGATTCCAAGGAGGTGCTGGCAGCGGCTCATATCAGGGTGGTGCAGGAGGTGGATCTTTCCAAGGTGGAGCTCCCTCTGGACCTGTTATTCCAATTATTTCTCAAACCAACGAACCAAACCAAGGAGATGGCAGTTACTCATGGAGGTAATATATAAAAAATACCAAATAAACATTTAACTAATAACCGTTTTTCTTTTGGCTCCTTTGAACAGTGAGGTTCTGTGTAGGCAACAAGTACAGTAATCACGATTTATTTACAATTTCAGCTACGAATCTGGTAATGGAATTAGAGCCGACGAGAAGGGATATGTTAAGAACTTCGGTGCTGGAGAACCTAACGAACTTCAGACTGCTCAGGGATCTTTCTCATATACCGCTCCTGACGGAACCCCTGTCCAATTAACTTATACGGCTGACGAAAATGGTTTCCAACCACAAGGTGCACATCTTCCTACTCCTCCGCCAATCCCAGAGGAAATTCTTCAGGCTCTTCAAAAGAACGCTGCTGATGAAGCCGCAGGTATCTTTGATGACGGACAATACAAAGAACAACCTGGTGCTGGTGCTTACCAAGGCGGCGGCGGTGGAGGAAGTTATCAAGGTGGTGCCGGAGGCTTCCAAGGAGGCGCAGGCCGACCAGGAGCCGGAGGCTTCCAAGGAGGTCCTGTAGGTCCTGGTGGTTACCAAGGAGGAGCCGGAGCTCCTGGAAGTGGAGCAGGAGGCTTCCAAGGAGGAGCAGGTAGACCTGGTGCCGGCGGATACCAAGGAGGTGCTGGAGGTTACCAAGGAGGTGCTGGAGGTTACCAAGGAGGAGCTGGCGCTCCTGGAAGTGGAGCAGGAGGCTTCCAAGGAGGAGCGGGCAGACCCGGAGCCGGAGCTGGAGGATATCAAGGAGGTGCTGGCAGACCTGCAGGTGGTGCTGGTGGATTCCAAGGAGGAGCTGGTGGATTCCAGGGAGGAGCTGGCAGACCAGGTGGGGCAACAGGAGGATTCGGAGCACCCGGTGCCGGAGGTGCTGGTTACCAGTCCGGAGGATTCGGGTCCAGGCCGTCGGGTGGTGCCGGTAGCGGATTCGGCTCAGGAGCGTCATCCGGTGGCAGCTTCGGAACGGGTACCGGTTCTTACAATGCTCCTTCTGCAGGAGGACAAAGGCCATCTGGAGGACAAAGCTTTAACGCCAATACAGGATACTCGTACCCGAGACCAGGAAAATGATCTTTATTTTCCAAAAAAGTTCTACCCACTTTCTTTCTAAGCTCAACTATTTATTAGACTTCATACTTTACCCCGCCAAATGTTACCACTCAAGCAAATACGTCGAATGACGTTGCCTTTGTAAATAAGCCATTCGTATATGTAAATATACATTTTATAAAAATTAACCGACTCGTCTTATTTAAACCTTAAGCGCATTGGATTTTTTCTAGATAAATTTCATCAACAAAAAATTTCCTTTGCTATACAAAAGAAATTGCAAAAACTTTGCAGGTGTTGTATACATTTTCAAGGTTCCTTTCATAAATCACCAGCACTCTTGGAATCTTTTTGTTTAATGAGATGGGAACAAATCCGTCTTGGGTAATCTTAGTTTAACCGCCTTTTTCCCGTGGGTCTGATTCCGATTCATATGTCTTAAGTTTCGCTCTCACGGCATTCCTTACCCTCAATCTTTTTGAACAAATTCAAAATATTCTCAAATTCTGAAGTAATGTGAAATGCCGCACTTGAAACATTTACTGAAATGAAAAGCCGTAGGAAGTTATGAAAAACTGCAACTATTTTCGTAAGTGTTTCAAATGAGACACAATAAATCATTTAATCACTTTTAGGAAAAACGTACATTTTTTTTAAATAAGCACATATTTATTTACTTGAATAATAAAGATTTTACGTTTAATAAATTATGTAAGCATTCGCTAACGACTTTAATCACAAATTAAGTAATATCTTATTAGGCTTTCAAAATTAGAAAACAAACTTGGTCATATTTTTTATATCGCAGATGCAAAAATTTTTAAATTAAATTAATTTTTTCAGTACAATAAAATTAAAATGGCACTAGATTTAAATGTTTTTTTGGCACCAAATCGTTTGCTTAGATAAGTATGACGATTTATTCAACATAAAACATTTAAAAAAAAGTTTTATTAAGTGTTTTGTTTGTTTAAGTTAGAAGACATTTTCATGCGGTTTTTAAATAAAAAACTATTTGTATTATTTATTTACATTCATTTGGTCGTTTTGGAAATTTAAACCCAATTTCGGTTTTATTAATATCATATTGTATTTTAAAAGATATAACCCCCTTGTATCTATAATTTAAGTTTATTTGTATACATTTTTGTATTATTACTAATTATTCAGAAATCTCAACACTCTCAACACGACACGCAAGACTGGCACAATTACACAGAAGACAAACACTTTGAGCCCTGAAGATGATCTCAATAAAGATCGAAACGTTGGCACGATAAAGAAAATGTTTTTCTGAAACCTACATCACATCAGACCGCATCTCTCGATTTCGCAATAATTATCGATTAACGGTCACTAATCACCACACATTATTACTAACGTATGTAATATTTGAGAAAAAAATACTAACCGACAGGCTGCATGGCCAAGATGGAAGACGATTATCTATTATTTTGAAATGCACGGTTTTGTTACACGATTTGCTTTTTAGAAATCTAATTTTTTGGTGTACTTTTACTATTTTCTATCTTATGCATTTTTTCATAAATTTAAATTTATTTTAGATTATTTTAATATGTTTTGTGGAAAAATTTAAAATATTGGATTTTTATTTTATCTCTAATTATGAATGTTGTGAATTAGTAAGAGGGTTCGGTGGGCTATAATGGGGTTTTACGATAGAATAGCATATACTAAGTACAACATTGAACTGATGACGATAGCCTGAGGGAAGCGTCCTTTTTGTCCAAATCCGTACTCTAAAAAACCTCTTGGCCAAGTAGGACTTGATGACGAAGAAAAGTGTGTGGAGTAGGATGCCCTAGAAGTTCCTGAGCGAGCCAAATTCGGAAAAGGCAATTCGGCAGCGTTCCTTCTTCTCCAAGGAGGGTGCAATGTCCACAACATTATAGCACTGTTGAAAAATTGAATGGTGAAGTCTATTCTATTAGTCTAAATGCTCTTTTCGATCTATGACGGTGTGTTCAATAAAAATACTCCAAAATGGGGACAAATCTTTTTTTACAGCAATTTCCAGAATATCTGAAGTGCAAAGTTGTGTGACAACCTCCACAAAATAACCAAAAAAACCGGATTCCATTACCATCAAGTAGTCAGCTTACTAATACCAGTCTTCTTTCACTAATTAACCTAAAATTTAATTAACGAGATTTCTAATCAATCTAAAGGCAGTCTATTACTATACTTCACTCCCACAACGGGCAGTATTTCTTCACTAAATTCTCGAGAAGAAGTATGAAAGTACAGGAAAACCACCATTAACTATCCGGTCCTCGGGTCTGTTATATACGTATAAAGTTGACTCCAGACATGCGGTATTCGCCGATTGTTGTCCAAATCAGTTTTGGCATTCGCCAAATAGTGTGCTTATGTATACACACATGCGCGGTTTGTATAACCTTCTAGTTGTTGCGGAAACAGGGAATACTTATTTGCCCAATGCCGTGCGAGTGCTCAGCTTGCTACCACTCGTGATATACAAGAGTGAAACGTCATTGCTGCAGGTACGGTTACCGTTTCGTACAGTGGAAAAAACTAATTAAAAATATATATATTTAATTATATTTTTATTTATTATTTTATTTATAAAATAATTTATGATTCGTAAGAGAATCTTTCAAAATTATTGGTTTTGTTTCGTAAACATAGAGCAACTTCAAAACTGTTGCGTTGGTCCGATCCATTCCTAATTTAAAAGAAAGCTATTGTTATTGTGTAAATTAATACACATATGCCAGTCAGGAATCGTTTTTAATGAAAAAAAAAGTTTCTTGATTTTGATAACAGTTGACAGTTGGTTAAAGGTATGTACAGTTACAGTTGATTCCTGAATGTGTGGATGGTTTCAGTGCGCTTACTTCACTAATATTCGTAATTTGGAAGTGGTCAAAAAAACCGACAAAAAGCCGAGCACTGAATACTGTTGTTCGGCAAATAATCGAGCATCATCCCAACTAATCGGGATTTGGCAAAACTTTGCTTACCTTTATATGTATGCAGGCATGAATGTATATTTCGCGTAGCAAAAAGTCACTACAGATTCGAACCGCCTTTTTTCATGTTCTTATGAAACACTCACCGATCTGTATACATTGAGCACATTCCACGTTCCAAAACGACACCCCTGCTTTCAAAGCTTGTTGTCGACTCTTGGGGGTATTTTTGGAATCGAATCGGTGTCATAGCACTTTGCATCCCTTTGTCAACTTAAGACAATGAGTTATTCAGATATCGTGAGATGCGGTCGGGTGTGATGTAGGTTTCAGAAAAACATTTTCTTTATCGTGCCAACGTTTCGATCTTTTATTGAGATCNCGTTTCAACGTCTAATCCGTTGCAGCCACCGACGTCCCCCCACTACCATTATTGGTACGAAACATGTGAGAGCCTGATTGTTAGTTGCCATGGAAATTCATGACCAACAACTTTGTTCTCTGCGCGTCCAAAACTAAGCTAATTCGTACTTTCATCGTCCCCCCCTGTCATTCACGTGGAATTGACTTTGACAATGATGTGTTGTAAAATACAAAAATGACACAGGTTAAAAATAATATTTGCATACGTCCGCTTTACTATTCAAACGTTATTTGACGTTATGACAGCAGACGTCTTTCATTCGATTGTGTGCCGATCTCATATGTATAACAACTACCTGGGAACAGCAGTTTTCTCGTACGGTACGGGCGCGTTAGGGTCCTTCATTTACTTAGGTAGAGCGATGAAAATTTGGCGTGTGTAAGGCGTGCGTGATCCTCGCATGGCTTTTATCCAAGAACCGGTTCACCCTATGACCCGACCTCGTCTAAACCGCCGGCCCGATACTTTGTGCACTTCCTCCGATTTCCCTACGTCTACGCTCTCTTGCCCAAGATGGGAGTTGAAATTTTCGCAAATACCTCTAACGAAACTTCTGGGTTTTCGTAAGAATCCCCGCAGCCTGAGATCATCTACGCTTATGGAACGTGTTGCTCGTATTTGCTTCTCTTCTGATTTATGAGAAACGTGAAAATCATTGTCGTGTCACTTATTATTCCCTTTATTAATACAAAATTTATAATGAACTATAATTTTGTCTTTTTTATTTATGCAACTGTTATTCTTAAATGGGAAACACACATTTCGTTATTACCAAAAGCGACGTAATAACAACCGTAAATTATTTTGAGATTGTATCAACAGAATAGTAATCTTTGATTGTAATTTCTGAAAAAGCTAAATGGCTAAGGTCAATTCGTGGCCACCGCCTTCTCACTTCTCTCTCTAAATGTAATAGGTTTCTATAAATAACCTAAATATTATCTAACCACCGCCATAAACAAAAAGATCAAATCAAATTTTAAAACGTAAAAATCTTCAATAAACATTTAATTGATTTAACATCAATTAACCTAAAACGATTCGTCTTGTTGGCCGTAAAAGAAAGTCATGAAGGTGCAACGCTCACCGAGGAAGCCCGTACCGGGCCAAGTGCAACTTTTTTTGCCAAGTCACTAAATCTGAGGCCTTGCGTTGTCATGGTGGCTAACGACTCTATTTATATTCAGTAACGCTTTCGTCAAGTTCGAAACAGTACATTATCTAATATATAGGAAACAAATTGCTGGGGAAGTGTTTACAAATGAAGATGATTCATGAGGAGAATGGACGTAAATAACCATTAAATAATTAAGCAAATATAGTAGATTATTTTCGTCAAAATTAGTGTTAATTAATATTACCTTCTATTAATCGAACATATTAATTTTATTGTATGTTAAATTAATATTGAAAAAAAAAATTTCAACTTAAACGATATTTTAAATTTTTTATCTAAAGAAAAACGTTTTTGTTTGAGGACATTATGTTCCTCAGTTGGAAATTTAATATGGACCATGTATTTTGTTCAAAACAATTAACACTTATATTTATTAATTACTGTTTTTTAATATAAATTAAAAGTGTGTGGTGTTTAGTGACCATTAGTCAATGATTTATTCGGAGATCGTGAGAGCGGTCTGGTGTGACATAGGTTTTAGAAAAACATTTTCTTTATCGTGCCAACGTTTCGATCTTTATTGAGATCATCTTCAGGGCCTGGGATGTATAAACATTGTTTAAATTAAAGAAATACATGTAGGATGTGGAAAAAAGTGAATTTATACAATGCAAAAAAAATTTTTTTAAAATA